ATCTATCTATCTATCTATCTATCTATCTATCTATCTATCTATCTATCATCTGTCTGTCTATCTATTTTCCTACTGAAACTCGAGACAGGGTGACCCAGAGGGTATTGATGGCTCTGGGTTCTTGCCTGGCAGAGGGATCTCAGCATCAGAGGCAAGGCTTAGGTCCCTGGCAGGAAGCCCTTCATGGACACTTGCCTCTGACTTCTGGTCTGGTAGGCCATACCCGGTGACCTCTTTAGAATGGTACCTTAGGCTCAGCCCCTGCTTACTTCTCACAGCCTATGCAGGGTAGGCAAGGAACTTACAGAGGCCACAAACCACACACGAGTCTATAAACTCAGCTGCTGCCACAGCCTGCGGTGACCCCCAAGAAACCTTGCTGTCAAGCTGGGAGAGTCCTAGTTAGAAAAAGAATTACAGTCATTGCCAGATTGACTTAGTGATAAAAAGTCACAGTAATAAATAGATCCCTTGATTTTTCAAAACCCCACTTTGGAGCAATTCATCCCTTTATAGCTTGGATATCTCTAAGCTCTCTCACTCTCTCCTTTAAAGTAGAAATTGAAAAAAATTCATTAAATTAGTCCCCTGGGGAAGATTACTACTAATTAATTAATTGCAAACATTTCCAGAGGGAAGGTATGTCAATTGTAAAGTAATAAAATTAGATAGTTGAAATACTTACTCAGCAACTTTGATTGCCCAATCATTCCTAAGCGGAGGAATTTTTTTTGACAGAAAAATGAGGATGGTGGTGGGCAAAAAGCATTAGCTCTGTCCCTTGGTGATATCGCAAAGTAGAAACTACCTTATAGGATTTATTGATTTTCCACTGATTTATGAAGCCCTTCGTGGTGTCGATGCTAAGTGTAGGGACTCTGGGCCTACCTCTTGTCTTTGCTCTAGGATGTGAGAAAACCAACAGGATTTTGCAAAGAAAGCTCAAAAACAGTGGCTAAACAAATTGGGAAGTAGGGCTAACCATAACAGGGCATTTTCCTTCTGAAATGGAAGTGGGCAATACACACGGAACATGATTTCTGGTACAATTCTTTACCTGCTGTTTTCAGAGTTGCTTTATGGCTTGGTGGCTTTGATAAGAATGAATCCGGGGGAAAAAGTCTGTCCCTCTACTTTCCATGGTCATGACCTTAAGAGACCCTGGTTTACTGTAGCCTTCCCAGGGACAAGGTGCAAAGTCAACAAAGTATTGATGACGCTTGGTTGCTAGAGCACATCTTGAATATTTAGTGTAAGTCCCTAAAAGTGATTGTTATGAGATATACCACATAAGAAAACAAAAGCAGCCGTTTAAACCAACACTCACCTCTGGCAAAGCCCTCGGAGCCAGAGAAGTCTATTTCCTGGAATTTCTGTTTCAGGAATTCTGTAGAGTTTGCTTTTGTCTTCCTCTCTGCTTCCAGACTCTCACTGCTCTAGCCTGGTACTCTGGGCTTCTCTATCATGTCAGCTTTTCATTGCTTTGTTCAACGCTGATTAATTTATTTTCGGGGGAAAAATCCCCAACTGTATATGCGTGCTCAAGGAATTTTATTGAAGCAAGTAAATAAACCCATCAAACACAGAATCCCCTCCCCAGCAATAGTTAAGGGAGTCAACAAAAAAAACCACTCAGTGTCTCTTGCAAAACTGATATTGGTTCTTTTGTGATATTGTGCAAATGTGTCTGCTACCTCTTCCAGCTGCTCACTAAACCTAATAGGAAACAAAGTGCACAGAGGCCCATTTGGACGGCAGAGGACACTAGTCTGCGGTGTCCGTTGGAAGTTCATATTGCTCCTTGTTAAGTACACTGAAGATCTTAAGCAAGCCAAGTAAAGGATGAGCCTTTGACCATAGCTTGAGAACACTACCCTGACAAGGGGAAAAGACAAGCAAAACTAAGGAAAACCAAGCTGCCCTGTAGAGTTTAGGTTTCAAATTGCCCATGATTTCCTAATGATTTACACAAAAGACCAAAGCTTACGGGGAGGCAAAGAGTAACCACAAATTATCTGCTAAGGTCTCAAATTACAGATAGAGCAAGTGAGTTCAGGGGGACAATGGCATAGTTGAGACTATGCTAAAATACATTTTTTTTTTAAAAAAAAGTATGGAGTCTTTTTAGTGACTGTTTTTGAACTGAGAAGAAGGATCTCCCCTCCAATCTATGCATGACCGAACAAGCGCATCTGGACAGATGCATCCATAATTTATACTGATCAGCCACCGCAGGTCTCCCCGAGTAAAGCCGAAATGAACACTAATTGTTTTGACGGAAGGACGGTGCATGGCATCTGATAGAGAAACGCGGCCAGTCCCTGCCTTGCCTGCATACATATTGTCAACAGAAAAGCTGGCATCGCGAGAGGAAAAGAAAAAGGCAGCAATTCCCAGGCGAGGGTGTGAAGCAGCTCCTCTGGAAAAGGGCAAAGAGAAGGGATTAACTTCTTAGGCGCAGAGTATAAAACACGGCTGGTTGCAGAGAACTTGGTTGGCAAGCCTTGTGTCTAGCTTAGTGCTAAAATCGAAAGCTTGATAATATGAGTCTAATTCTTTTGTATTCTGTGAGCCTGCGAGAATTCGTAGACACCTCCAATTTATCTTATTAGAGGCTCCTGAGAAGAACACGGAGAGGTGAGACGAATGTCCAAGATGTCACCGCGCCAAGCAGATGACAGACGAGAGGCCAGAATGCCGACCTCTCGATTTGGGTCTTCCTGTAAAAGTGTATTTTACATGCATAGAGTCAGATACAGTCACGAGAGGTTGCTGACTCTGGCTGAACCGCGCGAGTTTGCCGTCAGTGCCTCATGGTGACAGTGTAATTCAGTAGAGGAAAATCTGAAAAGATGCCGCGGCAAGCAAACAGGTTCCAGGGGGCTTCTGCGTGTGCCGCGTCGGTCTGTCTGTCTTACGAAAGGGCTTACTGACACAGTAATTGGGGAGTTTTAAAATTTGATGTGGCCCGTTCGTTAAGAGAGTGAACAGCAGCCAGAGTCTGCTGTAATTGATGACCATATGAAAACAAGACAAGAGGGAGGAGGAAAGAAAGGCCCCCTTTAAGCAATGCAGTGAAGAGTGTGTCTATATGCCTGGACCGATGTAAGGACCGTAATAGAATTTAGTAACTGATTCTATGCACCAAGAGGACGTTTCTTAATCTTTGATTTGGGTTGCCCTGAGCTGGTCTTGCTATAGTAACATTGCACTTTCCAAAGAGTCTCTGCATGGAGCAGTCCTTGATTATGTTTTTGTCCTGGGCATGTTGACATCTTTTTAGTGATAGGATCAAGCGTCTGCTATGGCTTCAAGGAACTAAGCCTTAAAGTAAACAGCAGATTTATGGATCTGAAAACCGGAGAACAGATTTTGAAGCCAAAGTCTTCAGCAAAGAAATACAAGTAAGCAATGGAGACATTAAAGAGACAAACTGAAAGGGACCTGAGGGCAAGACTGAGTGTTCTTTTTCCCAGTGTAAGAGGGTTTGGGGATGGTCCCTGAGTGTCCAGCAAGGGAGCAGCATCGTGGTCTAAGACAGACGAGAAAGAGAAGCACAGCATTGTGTGTCCCAACTACAGAAGGCGTAGGATGCAGTGTTAGCAGGTAGCATTTATAAGGCTGATCTTTTGTTATTCTTGACTCTAAAGGATTTCACCATCATAGAAAAGAACACTTCAGTTAAAACCGTGAGCAAGTTGGAGCTGTGTGTCACCGAGCTTGTGGCACTCTCTCAGAGTGCCCTTTCCTCAGATTTCCAAGGTGAAAGCTGGGTATTAATCTGGGCGTGGTGGTACATGTGTAGAATCACAGTGCTTGGGAGGCTGAGACAAGAAGCTTGCTGGTTTAAGGGGTATGCGCTCAGACTGGTTCAAGGAAACGCCAAACA